AAGGCAATACCACATTGGAATACAAAACAAAGCATTCCACCATAATTGGAATCATTTTGTTGAAAGACCACCAATTACTAAATAGAAACTTATACATATTCCTACCACACGACATGGTTACTATTATTGTAGTAATTCTTAATTATCTTTGTATGGAAAACATTTATCCATGGTAGCATAAATTTAAATAATAATGTAACTGTTGATCTTAACTTTTTCTTTCAACTATATAGCATTATTAACGAGAGGACAAGAAACGGTCAATTGTAATAGTTGCCTCAATATTTTTTCTACTGAATATCTAAGTTATTCACACATATGTATTTTAATTGTTTTCCTATAGCATATTGTGGTTTCTGCATTCTTGAAAATAGTGTAAACGAATCGAGCCGCTCGCAAAATACTCGTAAGCCGGCTCGGTCAAAACTCGGCTCGAGCTCGAGTTGACTGAGTTCGAGTCGAACTCGAGCCGAGCTCGATAATTAAACGAGTCGAGTTCGAGCTAATATTTTGCGCGCTCGAAAGCTCGTCGAGTGGCTCGAACAACTTGCGTATTATATATATGTATATATATAGGGTCCCTATTAAATAGCAAATAATTTTTTTACTAACTGAACCCCTAGATTCCTTTACATGTAGGCTCTTCTTCCTCCTTTCTCAACTAGCTTCTAGTATCTTCATCTATCAAAACCTTCAATACTTTCTCATCATCAATTTTGACCAGGAAAAAGAAAATCCATAGCTGTCCAAAAGCTTTGGAAGTTTAACTTCCATTGCTAGATCTGTCGAGATCAAAGAGGCGCGTTCTTTTCGAGAGCAAATCTATGAACGTCACTCCGGGGATGTAGAAGAGTAATATATCTGAGAGTTGGGAATTGTGGGTTTTTATTTCTCTTTTATTCCTTATTTCATTTGGGAAATAAAGTGGTACTGATTCAGAAGGATTGAATTGGAGTAGGTGTTTCAATTTTTGATTAGATTTGAAGATGTTTATTTTCCGGTTTTTCCTCTTTTCCGATGGGTTGACTTTTTTGTTTCTACATCCCCACTGGCTATAAAATTTCGATTACAAACTTGAATTCGAGCCGCTTTGAATTCGAAAGCTTGATACAGAACGAGCCCAACGAGTTGAGCTCGAGCTTTGTTTTTAAGGGTCGAGCTCGAGAGCTCGAGCTCAAATATTTCAGCTCGACCGAGCTCTAGCTCGAGCTCGAGCCTGTGAAGAGTTGGTCGAGCCTAGCTCGATTAAGCCTCTGCTCGAGCTCGGCTCGGCTCGATTGCACCTCTACTTGAAATTCATAAGGAAATTTACGAATGTATGTAAAACACATTAAATCCAGCAAGTCTTTCTCGTCTCCACTTTGGCCCTTAATCTTTCCAAAACTCCAATTTAATCCCTTGGTTCATGACACATGTGGTCCATCATAGAATGACTCAGTCCAAATTACCCTCACCCCAAACTCTAAATGGCGAAACCTTTTCCTCTTTCGGAGGATTCACCTCACATGAGTTAAACAGATCTACAATCCTTTTGCCATATTGGAGCTTCCCCTAATTTATCTGATTCATGCGAGCTTCCTGAAAGCAACCTGTCGTTCCCCCAAATTAAGACCTGCAACAGAAGAGTGTTTTGCTTGGGAAAAAACATATGATGCATTCGAATTATCAGACCCACATGGAATTCGGAGGCAGCAAAAAAGGGAATTGGGTCAATGGCATTAATCTTCCACCATATCAAAGGTATGTTTTAAGAAGTCATAAAACTCTCTTTTAACCTTTAGACAAATCTGCCGATTTTGTAATATTATCAATTTTGTGAAATTTTTGTCTCGTCTTCCTCCTCTAAGGATTGCTTTCCAATGGTTGAACATTCAATTTTACAGATTCCATGTGCTAAGCATTCAAATCAAGCTCATCCTGCTTATATAGTATTAGCTCAGGGTTTAATTTGCTACGGCTTTATCACATCGTCAGCTCTGCCGAGAGCTTCGCGATTATACTGGTAAGTTTCTACTCTTACTTCATTTCCTGTTCTTGATGATGGAATGCTTGTTTTTTTATTTTTTATTTTTTTGCTCCCTCCATATAATGCTTTGTTTAGCTTATTTTGTGTGGCCTGGTATGCGTACAAGTTTAATCATTATTTCTTGTTTGTTGCTTTTTGGTTGGCTTTTATGCAAGTTAGTGGATTACTATTTAGTGTACAACTGTTGTTGTTTGTAGAAAAATGTCATCTCGGTTTTTTATTATGTACTGAACTTGACTGTTTGGTGTAAATGGAATATTTTTTCCCTCCCTAGTGTTTCTCTTCCTTCAGGTGTTCTCTACATATAGATTCAGAACTTGAAATGTACTTTTTTTCTGTTCTTTCCTTCCATGTGCTTTAATTTTCAAATCTCCTCCTTTTGCCATATTGTAAATCCTTCTTAATTAGTTTAAGTGTTGATTTCCTTTGTTGCATTCTTAGAAACCCTTTTTGTGGAAATAAAACATGTATACCATTGTCTTCCAACAGTCGTTTACTGCCTTCAAAGCACTGTTTTTGTTATTTAGCGCCAAACTTGTTACATTGCATTTGCCTTTGCTTCCCTGCCTCTTAGTTGGGGTGTATATTTCTACGTGTACTGTTTTATCAATGACCATGAAATTCGAGACCAATTGAACTGCCCCGAGTACCTGGAATTACTGAATATTGCAACTAACTGAATCCATTGTAATTTAGCAGTACTGATTCTATCTTTGGCTCGTTAAATATTGTTTCGCTTGCCATATAGTTTAGAAGTACGGTAGGATTCTGATTGGTGAAGAATAGCCTTAATGATCATGACTTGACTTTTTTTTCTCAGTTTCCCTTATGTACTTTGATTGTTAGTCGTATATAAGCAAACGCTTAAGCACAATGCACTGATTGATTTTCCATTTCCAGCATCCCTTCAGATTTTTGCAACGCAAAGTGTTCAAACATTCTGAAGTTGGTAATCTTGGAAGCATTGTGCTGCCTAGAGTAATTTCCCTGAAACATTACACTGAGGTAATAATCTTGACTCAATGTTTCATTACCCAATCCGCATTTATTAATACTTTTCCATATCTTCACATCACTACCGACATTTACTTGTCTTCCGTCTCTGCAGGTCCCAACAATACTGAAACTTCAATGGATTCAGTATTTGATATCAGGAGCCTTCGTCCAAAACTTGTTCTTCCGGCTTCATCTATTGGCTGTCCTCGTCAGCCATACCTTGATTCCATGGCACTTCTAGAAAGATTTGGAAAACCAAACCTCTTGATGACCGTAGCCTGCAACCCCAGCTGGCCAGAGATACAACAACAACTGCAGCATGACAATCCATTCGATGAACCAAATATGTTATGGAGGGTTTTTAGAGACAAACTGGAGGTTTTAGTTCATGAGTTAAAGACTAGTACTTTTGGAGAAGTGGCGGCCTTAATATATGTTGTGGAATTCCAGAAGTATCGATTGCCTCATGCACATTTCCTCATCACCTTGCAAGAAAACTTCAAGTTTGTTGACGCTGAAGCTGTTGATAGGATCGTCTCTTCGGAGATCCCGGATTCTACTGGCGATCCTCTTCTACATCACATGGTTAGCGACCATATGATTCACGTCCATTGCCATGTTAACAATACGGTACCCCGCTGCTTGCGTGCTAGCCGCTGCATATACAAGTATCCTAGATCATTTGCAGAGGATACTATTGTTACTGGTTCGCCTCATCCAATTTATCGTAGGCGCGACATTGGTCGCCAAGTCGTGGTTCGAGGATGCTCTTATGATAATGGATGGGTTATACCGTATAATCCTCACCTATTGAAGAAGTTTAACTATCACATGAAGGTTCTGATTTGTACACGTGTGGCGTTAACTAAATACTTTTACAAGTACATATACAAAGCCATTGATCGTGTCGACTTCTTTACTACTGGGGAAACAACTTCCACGGCTGAAGGAAACCTTGCTGAGGTTTGTTCTACTGCATAGTCTTCCAAAATTCCTCATGTGCATGAAGATGTTCAGCCATCCGATGCCGCTGAACCGGTTCCAGTGACCTCAGAAGGTAAAATTCGTAGTTGTCTGATGGAAGAACTTTGTTTACATTAATGCTTCCCTTAATAATGAAAGATTGATGCTGCGACAGTAATGAAATAACTTTGTTTACTGCAACCTTTAACGGTTATAGCTGTATTATTAGGTGAAGATGCTGAACGGATCCTTGCCCATTCGACACCAGCACTGATGGAAAATGCCCAAGAGGTTTGTATCGGTTTAGAAATTCCTCTTCATTAGTTCTGTTGTTGCAGGTGCATTTACTATTTGACTTGTCTAAAGTGTTGTGGTATTTCTTTTTCCAGGTTCAAGTGTGAGGATGCAGCCCTGACGAGTTACCGCAACATGATATCATCAAAGATACTTTCCCGTTATGTTAAACCTCCAAAAACAAAGCATGCCACAGCACGGCCACACTACCTCCTCCAGTGCTCACCTGAAGGAAACTTCACTGAAATCGGTACTACTGGACAATCTTCCAGAGTAGCTGATGACCAGGAAGGATTTCACACATGTGATGCCGCTGAACTGCTCCCAGCTACCTCAAAAGGTGACATCAATACTATCAGAATTTAATTTGTAATTTAATCTACAACCCTTAAAACCCTTAATGGTTAGAGGTGTATTACCAGTGTTTCTTCAAACTTTCCAGCTTCTCTTTATTCTTTGTCCATTACTAATATACATTATAATTAATCTATTGCGGAGGCCGAACCAAAAATATTTATGGATTCGAAGATTGCTGCAGCTGATCCCCTTAAGGCGGAGTCCACAAGTGGTGATCGCAAAGTGAAGCAACCAAGGAGAGTCTAAAGTACTTCTTCGTTAATTCAAATGTTCATATGAGAAAATACTAACATTTACACACAGCGCATGTAATCTTTTGCACATGCGCGGAGTATTTATCGGCTAGTTATCCTTTTTACTCTATTAAAGCAGAAAATAGGATGCTGATGTGGCATTTTCTTATTAAAATGTTTTGGCTCCAAATGCATCATATTGCATTAATCATTCTGCCACGTGTCACCTCTTTTTTAAAAAAAAAAAATATTTACAATATTAACGAAGAGATCAGATGGCCACGTTCATTCAAATTTTGAATTTGACAGTGTATAATTTTCCTTCTCCATTTATTTAGGACTTTTGAAAAAATTAATTTCTGGTCAATCAATTATCTTCATCAAAAACTAAATTCATTCCTAATCAGTTTTGATTATTTACATATCGATTTATTAGGTGGGACGCCCGGGCATTTGCCCGGAATAAGCATCTAGTATTGTATTAGATAAAGATATATCTAACCATTGATATATCAGTACTAGATAATGGATCTAATTAAGATAAACAAAGTCATAAATAATTCATACAGATTTATAGTGCTGAATCTTCTTGAACCGCACGGTACAATACACACGTGGGAGAAATGACAAATTACAAATTGTAGAATTGTGAAATTTGGAGTTTCAATTTCTCCGTATGGCCCATTGCTCTCGTGTTCTTCTTCCTTCTTCAGTGAGCACAGCCCGAAATTGCCTCACTCCGTCACTCCACCGACGACCCATTCCATTGACTTCACAGAATCTAGGATTCAACCCCATTTCTTTTTGCTCAATCAGATCGAAACAAGAAGGGTTCCCTCCGAATTCCAAGTCTCAACAACAGTTTAGAGTAACAACGACAACAACCGCAAAGGCATCAATGGCGGAGGTATCAAATGAGACGAGTAAAACCAAAGAAGTCTTCGATTCGGAAGAAGAACTAGCTGTGGTCTTGGCGGAATATGTTTCCAATCTTTCTGATAAGTTCTGTAAAGACAGAAATGCGTTTACGGTGGTTGTATCTGGTGGTTCTTTGATTAAGTCTCTCAGGTGAAAAAAACGTTCTTCTCGGAGTTATCGAAATTATTTTTCATGTCTTCTTCTTCTTTTTGATTTCCGGAGTTCTTTATTTTTGGTGTTTGATTTGGCAGGAAATTGACGGAGGCGCCATATATTGATTCAGTGGATTGGTCAAAATGGCATCTTTTCTGGGTGGATGAACGAGTTGTTCCTAAGGATCATCCTGATAGCAACTATTTGCTTGCTTATGATGGGTTCTTGTCCAAGGTGAGCAACATTTCTGATGTTTTCCTAAACCCTAAATGTTATGCATACTGATCTTCGTTCTTGTTGCTTCTGTGCACAAAAGTTCATGTGCTTGTACATGTGTAAATTTTGCGATGCCTTGTCCGGTTTGCAGTATTTGAATTGTATAATTTTTTAATGTAAGATTTCTAATTTTAATCTCTGCTGGGATCAGTTTTACTGAACCAGGTAACAAGAATGTCTGTAAATGGAATTGTTGCCTTTTCATGTTCAGGCACTTGGCTTAATCATCTTTGCAATTAAGAATCTATGTCTTGAAGTGTATCTCTGTTGATAAAGGATCCAAAACAAGGAGTTAGTGTATTCCATAACATTTCTACCTAGTGAAGGGGCATATTTATTTACTACCCTTATCAGAGGACTTTCCTGATTTCAGGTTTTCAATTGTAGACTTGTCCAGTTTTCAATGTTCAATTTGGAATATTTAAAGTCTTAGGAGTGATAGCTACATGCGACCTAGGGTACCTCCTTTCTTTTGACTACTCCATGCCACACTTCTTTCTTCGAGTTTGTGTGATCTTAGTCTTGGTTTGGTGTTTAGGATACTGGGATACACAATGATTTCTAAGGTTTAATTTTCATACTTCTCTAACCTGAATCTAAGCCTCCTTTCTTCATCTTATTGTTGTTCGTGTAAAACTTTCAAGATTTGTCTCCATAATCTGTGGTTTTAAATGTGCAAGTTTCAGAACTTTGATTTGTTTGCAACTGTCTTATTTTAGGTTGTAACTACAGAGAAGTTTTGTTGGTCTAAGACAATGATTCTTAGGGGCTTCTTGTAGATTGAGTGAGTGACTGCCTTTCAGTCAGTTGCAGTTTATAGCCTGAAGCAATTAGAGCCTTGTTGACTTATTATTGGCTTACTTGAGTTTTTGTGAAGAACAAGTTACTTTCCACTCTGTCCTAGCACCTTTTCAAACTTTTATTATTATCTACTAGTACTCCTCAATATCAGTTTAGTAAATGTGAACATGATTATTTGATTGACGTAATCAATGCTTTTAAAAGGACATTGACAATATTAAAATGATCAGCAGTAGCTTTTCACGGTTTATATTAAGCAGGGTGCTCCTCTGACTTTTCTTCTTTTGTTGCAACATATTTTGAGAGAGTTTGTTTTGACCAAACTTCATTTATACAAGACCCGTCAGTGAACCGAGCCTAAGTACCAAGTTATTTTCTGAGTTAAAATGCAGTAGATCTTACATTGTATCAGTTCACTGTTGAAGATCCAGTTGCATAAGGCAGTCCGGTATAACATTCTCCAGTGAGATACTCTTTTATTTTGACAGTTGATGGTTCATTCACCCATCATTTCGTTTCCTCCTTTCTACTTGTTTCCAGTGGTACTTGTGTTTTTCCTACCATCAGTTGCTTTTTTGATTTTTATCATTCTTATTGTGGATATGGTGAGCCATTTATGTCCAGCCGAAATAATGGATAAACTGTTGGATACATTTGCTGAAACTTCTGATACTCCTTATGTTAGGTGCCAATTCCTCCTGCTAATGTTCATGCCATTAATGACACACTGTCGGCTGAGGGGGCAGCCGATGACTACGAGGCGAACCTCAAGCATTTGGTAAATAACAAGATCCTGAAAACATCTGAGATCAGTGGATTTCCAAAATTTGATGTCATGTTGTTGGGCATGGGTCCAGATGGGCATATAGCTTCTCTTTTCCCTGGACATCCTCTTCTTCAAGAACGCGAGAAGTGGGTTACATTCATCAAGAACTCGCCTAAACCTCCTCCGGAGAGGATCACCTTTACATTCCCAGTGATAAACTCTTCGGCTAACATCGCTCTGGTTGTAGCTGGAGCTGGTAAAGCCGATGTGATCCGCACAGCACTGGGCGATAACAATCAGAGTTCTCCGTCGCTTCCCGTTCAGATGGTTTCACCAGAAGGGAAGTTGACTTGGTTCTTGGACAAGGAAGCTGCTTCAAAGCTGTAGGCCAGAGATCCTTGACTCGAGTAGTCGGTGTATCAACTACTTATTTGTGAACGTGTGTGAACATGTTTTGGTTCAAAGAAGACTGCAATAAAAAATGAGTTACTGATTTCAATTTTTTACTTTAGCATCGTCATAATTTAATACTACATTCTAACTTATGCAGTGTAAATTGACTATGTGATTGGAACTTGCCATCTTTCGAAAATCTGAGTATTTTCTTTGTATAAACAGTTAAAAATATTGATGAAAAGTAATTGACAATGTGCAATTGGGGTGTTGACCATTATCAGATGGGAAAGAGTCAGTGGAAGTGTGCGTCAAAAAACCTTGGCTAGTCAATTTGTAGAAGCAATTTGCAATGAAATTTAACTTCAGATCCTGAAAATTTTACAAAACGGGCGAAAACAATAAATCCTCTATCTTTACATTAAACTCAAACAGATCGAGGATATAAAATACTAATGTCGTGTTATGAAAGACTTGAGAGTTGTAATAGTTCCATTCTACTTGATTATTCCCTCAGTTCTAAAAAAATTTCACATTTGTTAAGAAATATTTGATTTGATTTGATTAAATGTCCATAATTAACATGTATTATTCTATTCACAATCAAGGAGATATGATTCTGTAATATTTAGCGTTAATGATAGATGATTCATTTCTCATAGTTTGATCCCCTACTTCTTGTATAAATAGGGAGCTCATTCATGCTTCAAAATACATCTGAATACAAATCTCTTATCTCTCTCTACTCTCTTGTCTCTCATCTCTTGTTTTTATGCTTAGTTTCATATGCTAATTTAGTATTAATTTTATAATATGTTATCAACACGAAAACTCTAGCAAAAGAGCTTCTACCACCGCCTAAAGTTGGTGTGTACTGATTTTGAAGGCCTGAAGCCTCAACAAATATTTTAATTCTACCACCGCCTGAAGTTGGTGCGTATTAATTCTGAAGGGTTAAAGCCTCAATGAATATTTTAAAAGGCTTTTGTAATCTAAAGTGCCTGAAGCGCCGTGACCTCCAAAATTTTCCGGTGCACAAGTTTCTAGCCACACTGAGACAGTTCATCATGGAGTTCAATTTAATGGCTCAAAATGATGATGATGGGAGAAAAAGGTAAATCATAAATCCTGCGTATTTGGTTTGCATATGAATGAAAAATATTTCTTGTTATAAATTTTATTTTACTCATATCATACAATCACGATGCAATTCTTAAGCTATGTATATGATTGTTGATCATGTGAATGTATAAAATTTATATAAGTTGCATGTAATTGCGCTAATATCCATGTGTCTAAAGAAAAAAAATGTTTTATTTAAAGAATTAATTTTTTTGATATTTAGATTGCAAGAAAAACATTTTATTTTATTATCATACGTTTATTAATATTAGTAAAAATGTATTAATAGGAAGAAATCTCCTTCTCATATTTTACTTTGTACTTTTATATTCTACTTTACTCATAGTATTACTGATATTTACTAATGCAAGTACAATATATTGCCAATAGCAATATGAAAATGCATAAAAGTTGCTCCTGAAGTCGCAATGTTGCTTTGTACTTTTATATTCTACTTTACTCATAGTATTACTGATATTTACTAATGCAAGTACAATATATTGCCAATAGCAATATGAAAATGCATAAAAGTTGCTCCTGAAGTCGCAATGTTGCGATAGCATATTTACCATATTAAAATGTTCTAGTAGTAGCACTATAGCGAAATATTTGATGAAATCTTATGAACTGATTTCATTCCATTCTCCGAAGTGAGTGGGCACTAAAATTATTTCTGGGCAAATTGTAGACATTAAATCTACAATAATTATGTATATATACAATTCTTCACCTAAAGTTGGAGAATTAATTTGAAGACATGTTCAATTTAGACATGGTCCGTTTCTTGAAGTAAATGTGGTGATCATGCAATAATGATAGTGGTGATTCTAACAAATACACTACTAACCATCTGATGAGGTTAAAAAAAATAGAGCAAACACTACTATTGATCTGAAGTTAAAAAGTAGTATATTGCAAATGCTATCGTTGTAATATAGAAAACCATTGGGTTCACATGTTCTGTATACCCACAATTATCTTATTGATATCTTCGATATATTATTGAAAATAGACGAATTCATTAGTCCTGTCGACAATGAATCAACAAATCATAATTCGATCTTTGTCAAATACCCTGAAGGTGATTTAAAATTTAGAGATGAAAATGTCCAATATGTCAAACACCCTGAAGGTTTTGTGGTCTTTTGGCCACCATAGTAATTATACTATTTAATTGACATTTCTATCTACATGTTTCGAAGAAAATAAGATCTAAATTTGTTAATGGCAAAAGTATGCCTTACACATAGTGCAACTCATATTACCTCTCTGGCATTGTGAATTTAATTAACCACCCTGAAGGGGATGCTAGTCAATGATAAACACAGAATCAATTAAAAGCTCCAGTAGAGCATATGCCATTGAATTATTCTAAGATAGATAAAAACTTCCATAGAGTGTAATTACTCCGGAGAGTGAAAATAAATAAATGCCCTCAAAGAGCAAATATAATTTCATCATTGTCTCTGGAAGAGTAATAGTAAACAAACTTTACTCCTAAAAGAGCAAGAGAATGTTAGAAGGAAAAAGTGCATTGAGATATATTATATTTCCGAGGTATCAAAGAAGGATATAAATTGCTCTACCAACACAACTATTTTGGATTGAAAAATTCATTGTTGTCTCCAGCAGAGCAACAACACAATTTGTTTTTAAAAGAGCAAGAACACTTTGGTAGAATAAAATGAAAACAACTAAATAACAAATACTCCGTCAGAGTAAACGCTTATGTGAAGCAAAATTATTCTGGTATATTTGAATAATTAATTCACTATTTTCTCCAGAAGTGAAATTTTAAAATTTGGCATAACTACTTAAGCCATTCAAGACAAAATAATAAAGTTTATATGCTTTAAATTTGGAGAACCAAGAGTTTCTTCTAAGAAATTAGAGTATCAATCGATGTGTTGATGAGATAGCTACATGGATGGTTCTCGTTAACCTGCAACCTGAAGTTTGCAGAAATTTCATTATGGAGTTAAATTGGTAACTTGCAGATTTTCATGTTCTGCTCTTACGAGAATTTTGATTTGACAGTTGTTGTGAGTATATAACTCAATACTAGAATGATAGAAGTTGAACATTGAGTGGCTATAAGAGAAACAATGAAGCAATCCAGTAGAATCATTAATTGCATGTGTTCAATTAAATTAATAGCCTCATGTATAATTGAGAAAGTGTTGAAACACAAAAGGCACCAATTATATGCATAAAACCAAACAGGTCATCGCAGATATTCTCCCCAAAAGTGTTGTTCGGTCAGAAACCATATATATCCATCTTCAAAGATTACATGTGCAACTATATTATAATTATTACACCACAATGCACCCAATGATGGAACCTCCAGAAGAGGTTAAAAATATATGTTTGAGATTATTGATGTTGGATTAACTACTCGATAGACTGATCGTATTACTTTAACGAGTTAGTTACTCTCAAAAGGGAGATTATTAATTGTTCGGTTAGTTAATCGTCATTTTAGCAAGTTAGTTATCCTAACATCAAGGGGAGAAGTTAAAACAGCCTATTTATAAAATCAGATGGACAATGTAATTATCTCATTATGATCCTCGGTGATATGAACCTGAAGTTCAAGAGATAATGTTTAAGACCAGATGTTTACCTGACCAAATGTATAAATATATCTTATACAAAAGGCTGTTAAAACTTAGAATTTGATAATGTGTCCCTAAAGGACTACCTACCACTATTTGTTAGTTGAATGTCCATTTGATGAGTGGTAGAACCATCGATTCCAAATGATAAAAATCCTCGTAAATGACAAGGTTTAAATCTATAGAGATGGCAAATACGAGCGATTCATAAGAATTTTGAATTAGAATAGTTTCCCATTACGGTGAATTAACTTCCAAAAGAAGTATATATGAATATTTGAGAACCTTAATGATTGTAAGAACTCATTACCAAAGAATATAGAATCGATCACTAATAAAATGTGGACATGAAGTTTGCATATACTGCAGCTTATACCAATCTCGTAGATCAAGCGAATTTCGTTAATGCAACCATCAAACAAGAAAGTAGGAAGATAATTTGTCTATCCCGTGAAACTCAAAAGAGTGCGAAAAATCCACAGTAAGACGATTTTTTATCTAAGGATTTCTATCTCTTTAACTCAAACCAAGCAAAGAACACATAATCTATGAAAGATTCGAATTAAACAACAACCCACGCTAAGAATAGTAAGGACACCATTCAATATACTCGCTCAGTCATCAGTTCAAGAGACTCAAGAAAGGTAGGAGCATACAATGCTCAACTATGAAGGAGTACTATTGATTAGTACTCTCCATAACCAACAAAGATATGTAACACAAACACTATCTCAAAATGCTTATGCCAAAGCAAAACTCATCCAACAAAAATTAGGACAAACTCCACAAAGGAACTCATGAACACACACGTCATGAATTTCGAAAACCCTAGCCAAAAGAAAGGCTCAACACTCGAACTACTAGAAGTAGTATGAAAATAAGAAGTTTAGTATTAAAACAATTCTATCAAGAAACATGCTTGAAAAAGAACGGTTTCTGCAAGGTCAAAAGATCCAAGACAAGATGAAAAACCCTCTTGGTTAAATCATACATGACAAATGACAAATGGACACACCATTTAACAAAAATTCTTCACAGGAAAAACTCTCATTAGAGAAGACTCAAAATGACCACACACGGGTACCTTAAACCTTATGCCATGCCCCCTATTTATAGAGTAGCAACCTTGGTCACAAAGCACCAAAGAAGACCAACTACGACTTTCTAATCTTATCTCTCGCAGGAGTAGAGTTAAAAGAGTATTTGATCTCTTTGACTCTATCTAAAATCTAGGAAACCTTATTTAAATGACTTATCCTCATATAGGATAATACTTAGAAGAAATCTAAGACTCCTAAACAAAACATTCTAGCTTAATTCAACCCACATGGCTTATCATAACTAGATAAACTCGAAAATAAACTCCTAGACCTAGACAAACTCTAATCTCGAAATTCAGCAACAATTGTTGAAGTAAAATGTCCTGAACGCCCTTCCAAAAGGTAGAATATTGGTCTTACGTCCCTCAAGTTGTAGATAACTCCAATTTACTCCAAGACTTGTACAATTCTCTTTATTGACTCCAAAAGAGTGGAAAAACACTTGAAACAATTGAGATAGTTTGCACCCTATCCAATTGTGTAGCGGTGGACTCAATCTTGAACACGTTGATCAAATATTTCATTCATTCAAGAACTTAAATGATTCTTCTCTCTAACTTGATCAATGATCTTCATGGAGCACTTACAGTCAAACTCTCTTGATACTCTTGAGCACTTATTTCCATGAGTGA